TCATTTTAGAGAATTTCATTCAAAGAACAGTAATCGAAAGAAACATACACCAACACGCTGAGCCGGATTGGCTGGAGATGTGCGTTTAGTACCGGTTGGCGCAATTGTACGATAAATTGTCTGTCTTTCAGATGGTCCTTCCTGTCGAGTTGTATACTGAATACGTGTACCACTCATTTGTGACGTCCCACCCGTTAACTGCAAATTTGAGCATAGCATCAAAACTCCTCAAATGACCTCCTAAAGATTAATATACTCACTGGATCACAACAACACTAATAACCATAATAATAACATCAGTAAGATACAAAAGATAAATTGAAATTGCATAAATTCTAACAATATTATCTTGTGATGAAACGACAACAGTATACGGTTGTTGGGAAGATGACTGTGCCAATTGGTTATTACCATTTCCAGTCATAACAATTTGATGTTGTGCTTGCAGACCAGATGCAGCCACAGATGGTATTTGAACACGTCTTGTGTTCGTATGATGATGCACACCTGATTGCATTGACGGTAGTGAAGTCTAAAAAAACTGCCATTTATAATCATTAGTTATTTCGCTTGCCTGATCTTAGTGGTGTCATTACGAATTCAGGAATAATCTTTGAGAGAACTACTGAATGAATACTCCTCAATAGGAAATGAAAAAAGTTGGAAGTTTTGTCATGATAAAGAGCCAAGAAAGTGATATTCAGTGATAATATCGAGACAAATACGCTTAATGAGCCGTTGCAATTGCTGATTGCTGAATAACTACGAATGCAGAGTGGAATGAATGCAAGTAAAGGCAACGATTTGCACATGAACAAACCACTTGCTGATGATCACTGTATGCTCGCTGTCCAACAATCACTTGCGTTGTTTGCGAGTCACCGACTGTTGACACGTTCTGTGTCATCATACCACTATTTCCTGATGCCATCGAAACTTGCTGCTGTTGCTGTTGTTGTTGTTGCAGGGCTGCGCTCCCTAAAAAGTTTCGAAAATGAAACGACGAAAATAACAAATCCATATAGTACTACGGAACTTACGTCAAAAACGAATAATCAGAAATCACGAAATTGACAACAAAAAGTATTGCAACAAGACCATCTCAAGACATCATAATGAACTGATCACATGCATAATCAACCAATATAATCTATGTATAAGATTCCCAGGATAATGATTCGTACATGTGATATTTCAACAAAACTAACCATAAACGCAAAATATCTAAAATTTCGACTCGCGAACCATAACGTGTAGTATTGAGGTAATCTATGAATCTCGATAGAAGCATTATTTAACAAGAAGAAACGTATCGGCCGATCGTAACTCTGACAACTGATAGATTATGGTTGCGAAAATGCAATCGCTGATAAAGCACAACAATATCTCTATGACTGCGAAGCTGAAAGAAGTTGAAGTGAAAGAAATACCGATAGTTCGAGTGGATGTAATGGGCATAGTTCCAGTGCCGACACCATTTCCAGGAATGTGTGACAGAGTGACAGAAACTTGTTGCTGTTGTTGTTGGTGCAGTTGAGGTAGGGAGTGTATCGACTGAGACTGTGACTGCATCTCGCACTGCTCCAGAATCGAGACCATCGTCGCTTGCTGATAGTTGATGTGACCGGGCAACGCCATCACGGCTGATTCTCGCTTTTGTGCCCTCTGATCGCGTTCATTTTGTTGCTCGCATCCCTTCAATCAATGCAAATTCTCTTCGAATGGCTGCCAGTTACTCTCATCCAAAAATTGCTCAGTTTTACGCAACCAACTGCTCAGACCATGCAGATGGATCAATCTGGGTATTGTCCGCGTCAGCAAATAGTCAATT